CGACGCTCTGAGCGTCTGCACAGATCCTTGTAAGTGCATGTATGACCATCCATTTATGCTCAAAAGAACTGCTAGAAGTCTCGAGGATGTTCATAAAGATCTCCTTAAAAAATACCTCGATCTGCATCTTCAGGTGCATCTTGAAACGTGCAAGCAGCGCCAAGAACAATGCCAACGATAGTTCAAACACCTCTGGCACTGAAGACACACCATTCTTTGACAGTGCTACGCACAAATACTGCTTAATGGCGATAACAAACATCTCGTTGGAACGCAATACTGGACCAGCATTCTGCAGGATCCCCAGAAGCAACTGAAGCGACAAGATCTTGGAACGGAGTTCATGTGATTTTGGATCAGGCGTGCCGTCCGGCAGAGGTTTCATAGAGAGTTTACAGAGAGCACGAAATACCAGAAACGCATCCTTTTGCAGCACATGAGTGAATTTGGCAGTTACCATGTTGTCATTTTCAGCGGCTGCCTCGTCACCATTGTCTTCAGGACTACCATTTTCCAGACTGACTTCCTCTTCCAATGGCACCACGGATTTTACTACATCATCAAGGATACCTCTGACAATTATTTGGGGATCAACAGAATCATTACCAGGAACATTCTCTGCACTTAACTCAGTTTCAGTTTCGCCATTCACTATGACAGGAACCTCCTGCTGATGCTCCCCATCGATTCTTATATTATCTTCCTCTGCCTGAGTCTCCATTCGTGCAAAGATCACATTGATCATCTGTGTTAGGGTTGCACGTGCTGTTGTCTGATTCACCAGGTTACGTGATGCCAAATAAACATTGTAAACCGTACGAATTGTCAACAGCACTGTACCCTCATGCACCTCCACATGTTGGCTTGTCATCACAGTCAGCAGAGCTTTAATAATCTGCAGCTGTACACCTTCGTCAGTCTGTGGACCAGTAAAGCAGCCACAAATTGTCTCAACAATGCGTACAATTAGCAGCTTATTAGGCTCTGTCGAGTCAGGTACATTGCCAGTGAGATGGCCATATGCTATTAACTTCTGCAGACAGTCCAGTGCTGTCACCACGATACGTGGTGATTTGCTCTGGCATGCTAACTCAAACGGCAGGAAGTATTTCTCGGCTGTAATGACATTTGAGTCACTCTTAGGTTGTGGAAGGGCATTTGAGGTTACCTCTTCACCCTGTACAGCTGGTACGTCTTTGATCTCATTGCGGAGATCCTCTACAAGATACAAATAAGGAAGCAATAAATTTAATCAGTAGTATCGCTTATAACTACAAGTTGCATTTATTATGTGAAGTTTTTCCTTACCAAGCGCAGACTCACAGGACTTCCTGAGCTGCGAGAGGTGTGATCTTTTGACATCTCGATCAGCCAATATCTTTTCTAAAGCTCGGACGATAAACATCTCTCTGGTCTTGGAGTTATTTTGCATCATCACCCCACTCCCCACGCGTCAGCTCGAGATCCACGCTCGTTCAATGCTTGTCCCTCAATGTATCAACATTGGAGCAAGCTAGCGAATGACAATATATGTGACTAGGTTGCACTGCTGGCTGCTGACCAACATCTTTTGCCACCTTCTCTACTACTATGCAATCCTTTCTTGCGAATATGAGAACATTACACAGGCATCTGGTGAGCCAAGTAGTACAAAGCCGAGGAAAAACTACATAGTATAAGATCACTTACCTAAGTGACAGGAACATCAATTTCTTTTCCTGAACAGCTCCTTAAAAACAGTACCGCGAATCGCGGCCTTCTCGAGAATTTGAAAATATTACGTGGCTTATGACATCGCCCATCAGCACTTCTCAAACGAGATTCAATAAATGCAAATAACCATGGTCGGAGAAATTGACGGGTTAAAATTTAAGCATAGGTTATGTAGCTACGTAAAACGACATAGAATGGTACCAGTGTCGTTAGACTTAAGGTGCAATTTCATGCAGCGAAAGAAAGCTGGCTTTTTACCATGAGATCTGTTCGCGTTACTTGAAATCCCTAAAAATTTTTTAACTTAAAATGAGATAGATATATATTTGGACGTTGAAAGAAAAGAAAACGAAGATACTGAGTGCAAAAAGTGCATGCAACGCGAACGGACCTATGGTGAAATAAAGAAGAGGTGTGCTGTTGCGCAAGAAGATGATTAACCAATAAGGATGGTGGAACAATTGACCGGCTATATTAATATATCAGCCAATCAGCATTTTTTCTGAGATATTCAAAATGTGGTATAATTTAAATAAGGAAATGACAATTAATGGGCGAGTTCAAGACGGCAAAGCGGCTATGCATGCTTACCGAGCGATTGAATAGGATTGGTTGGATCTATAAGTAACAACCAATTATGTTTATTTGTATTATATTCAGCGTTATTCCGAATAGCGCTGATTGGTTGCTTCAAAGACCCTTAGAGTGAAATCACACGGTGCGGAAAAAGACTGCGGAATAGAGAATGCGTCATTGAAGCAACCAATCAGCGCTATTTCGAATAGCGCTAAATAGCGTTGATTGGTTGCTTCGATGACGCATTCTCTATTCCGCAATCTTTTTCCGCACAGTGTGATTTTACCCTTAGCTTCCAGCTGCCGTGCGCGCGCGGGCTTCGTAGTTCCGAGAACTCCACTCTCAAACTCTACTAGTTCATGGCTAGATCGCGGCCTTAAGGGTGAAATCATACGGTGAGGAAAAAGATTGCGGAATAGAGAATGCGTCATTGAAGCAACCAATCAACGCTATTCGGAATAGCGCTGATTGGTTGCTTGACACTTGCTTCAATAACGCATTCTCTATTCCGCAGTCTTTTTCCGCACCGTGTTGCTGGATTCACACTGCATCCGAG